TCCTGAAGACAGGTTGAACGGTTTTGCTGTTGAGGTCAGGGCTTCAGATAGAGATGGAACCCAGAGCTCTGTAAATTGCTTTATTCGATGGTCTGTTTAGTTATGATAATAAATGTTTGAAAATTGATATTCGATTCCGATTATTCTTCATGAAAGAACACGCTGCAACTGTCAACGACTGGAATCAAGCAGTTCCAACTTTGAGTCATCACTCCACAAGGCTCTTGTGGAGTGATTATGCTGATCTTCACCCTAGTCTTTGCATACTGTATCTCACCCTTTTCTCCCTGCCCCCCCTCTCTGAAAAAGTGGTTTCTTGGCTGCTGTCTTTCCACAAATCCGTTCCAGATCAAATGTCTGTGGAAGGATCAACTTGGCAACAAGATTAAGTTGCCAGATGCTGAGCCAGGTCCTTGCTGAATTTTCTCCATTCTCTCAAAGAAAATGAAAAAACTACTCTTCGTGTTTTGACCATTTTTTTGTCTTACACTCCTGTTTTTGTCCTTGACCTCTTCAGATTTTTTTGTAACAGCTTGAATACCATATCTTCATATTTTCTAGATGTATTCAAATAAAGAGATTGAGAAACAAATATACATTGTCATCATTGTTAGGTTTTTAACATGGGGCTAGGACCCCAAAATGCAGACCAAGACTAGGGAGGAGCTTAGAAAGTTTATTAAGTAAATATGAGACAAAGAACCAAGAAGTAGCTGAGGTGCCTGGAGCACTCAGGTGAGTCAGACAGGCAGGATAGATTTTGGTGGAGCTGGGAGTCAGGAACCCACAGGTTACATCGTACAGAGTAGGGATGTCACCAGTGTAGAGGTAAGTAGAGTTGGTGAGGCACACAGGCAGGAGTGGAGTCAAGGTAGCTGGAGTGTCAGGAATGTGCAGGTGAGTCGAACAAGCAGGTGAGTGGCAGACACAGGACAGCGGGAGACTCACATAGTGCACTGGCATTGTCGGGAGACTGCCTGGTGTACTGGGAGCATACCAGGCAGGAACAAGAAACACAGGTTACCAAAACTAACACCAAACCAGAGACTACAGTGCAAGCCAGCAGGTTAATCTGAACAGAATATCACAAACAGAGAAATCATCGGGAGTATTGTTAATGGACAAGTGAGTGACTGAAGGAAAGAAGGTAGTATATACAGTGCCTTGCGAAAGTATTCGGCCCCCTTGAACTTTGCGACCTTTTGCCACATTTCAGGCTTCAAACATAAAGATATAAAACTGTAATTTTTTTGTGAAGAATCAACAACAAGTGGGACACAATCATGAAGTGGAACAAAATTTATTGGATATTTCAAACTTTTTTAACAAATAAAAAACTGAAAAATTGGGCGTGCAAAATTATTCAGCCCCTTTACTTTCAGTGCAGCAAACTCTCTCCAGAAGTTCAGTGAGGATCTCTGAATGATCCAATGTTGACCTAAATAACTAATGATGATAAATAGAATCCACCTGTGTGGAATCAAGTCTCCATATAAATGCACCTGCACTGTGATAGTCTCAGAGGTCCGTTTAAAGCACAGAGAGCATCATGAAGAACAAGGAACACACCAGGCAGGTCCAAGATACTGTTGTGGAGAAGTTTAAAGCCGGATTTGGATACAAAAAGATTTCCCAAGCTAAACATCCCAAGGAGCACTGTGCAAGCAATAATATTGAAATGGAAGGAGTATCAGACCACTGCAAACCTACCAAGACCTGGCCGTCCCTCTAAACTTTCAGCTCATACAAGGAGAAAACTGATCAGAGATGCAGCCAAGAGGCCCAGGATCACTCTGGATGAACTGCAGAGATCTACAGCTGAGGTGGGAGACTCTGGCCATAGGACAACAATCAGTCGTATACTGCACAAATCTGGCCTTTATGGAAGAGTGGCAAGAAGAAAGCCATTTCTTAAAGATATCCATAAAAAGTGTCATTTAAAGTTTGCCACAAGCCACCTGGGAGACACACCAAACATGTGGAAGAAGGTGCTCTGGTCAGATGAAACCAAAATCGAACTTTTTGGCAACAATGCAAAACGTTATGTTTGGCGTAAAAGCAACACACACTCTTGTGTGTTACAGCCTGCTCAGTGTTTTATAACTAAGGTGTCACTTTATTTTTAAGCTCATTTAATAAGACAAGTTGAACCAGAACAGACTCATTTGGAGCAGCATAGAAACACATACAGTACACACATGGATCACTGTGTAGAGCTATGGGCAGCTTCTGCACAACTTCTATAATTAATTAAAGTCCCACTCCAGAAACATTTTCATTTTTATATTTGTATATAAAAATACTTTACTATAAACAATATGCAGTCTAACACAGCTTTTCCTCAAAAA